ATAGAATGGTCTCTGGTTCCCTCTAGTGGCCATGTCTGGTAACTACATTGTAGAAATAAATTTTTCTGGGATTTTTTTCTTTTCATATTTTAAACATTTTTCAGACCACAGATAAGTGAAACCACAGATCCTGCTTTTCTCATTAAAAGAACCCAACTTATTGAAAGAAAGGGAAGCTATGATATATAAAAATGAATAAATAATTGCTTTTGACAAGATCTGTATTTAGCTCTCCTTATCAAGTGTAGAAGAAATTCCTGTGCTTTCGTAACTTACACACTTTTTTTTTTTTTTACATTTACCAGTGCAGGGTTTGTGGGGTACCACAGAGAAGAGATGGTAGCTTAATCAAGTAATCTTTGCTGGCTGGGCAATACTGGGAGTTATAGTCCACAGATTTAACTGTTCAGAACTCTGGTTTTCAACAGAAAGGAAAGTTCAGTACTCCTGATTTAGGCAGAATTTCGTCCATAATGTAAAGTTATAACATTATGACATTTCTGCATTATAAAGAAAGCTAGTTGATAATTCACCATCATGCATGGAGAAACTAGGTCGGATGTTGGCAACTTGAGGAAATAAGAGCCAATCTTGATAAAAAGTGGCGGATGTATGAGCTAGGCTTTTAAAAAACCGCACTGCAGTCTTTTTTCCCTCTCCCTTCCACTGAGATGCCATTTTTTTAATTTGAAGGTTATTCCAGGACATGCTGAGCCACGACCTGAATGCATTTCAGAATATTCATATGAACGTTCCAACAGCATTAAAAAAAAATTAAAGAAAGATTCTACTTGTTCCAGTAATGTTGCTTGCCATGCATAACTATTATGTTTTGCAAAGATACACTTGTGAGTTGTCTCAAGCTATAGGGCTGTAGAGGAACCATCACATAATTCACAATGTGATGCTGTTCAATTAACGATAGTGTTCTTTGGTCTCATCCAGCGCCCTCATATCATGACATGCTAAACACTATTGCCAGGGTCCTAACTTCTGTAGGCATGTGTACTGTACATCTGAGCTCTTGACATATACTCTTGGGGTCTCTTGGGGTACATGTAATCTCTGCCATGTGTTTGTAGTGCATATCTGGGGCTGCATTTCATTGAGGCCCAAATGTAATAACCCATGAGCATCCTAGGAACACCCCCCAGCACCCTGACAACAAAAGAAAAAAAGTTAGAATCAAAAATACCCCTTGTGCCTTCTCAGTGATACGAGGGCAGTTTTCTGATGAGCCCCCAGCGCCTCGTGCCTAAATATGATTTTTTAAAAAATGTTTTGGCCACTAGAGGGTGCAAGCAGGGTTTTCCAGTTAAACCCATTTGTGCAAGTTTTTTAAAAAAAGCTTAACTGGGGATCCTATGAATTCAACATAGGACTCTTAGATGTAAAGTGGCTTGAATGCAATGAATTATATGGAGCAAAGCATTCTCAGCGAAAGGCTTCTTGTAATTTCCAACATCCCTAGACTGGAAAAAGTTTTGATACAGCAGAACTCCAGCAGCTGATCGAGTGTCACTTCAGCTGGCTCTCAGATGTCTTGATCAATTAAGTTTGTGATATTTATTTGATCCAATTATTGGTAGAATCAAATGAAAGGTTAACCATCCAAAACAGCCCTAGTTCAGCTGTTGGAGAGATGGTCATCCCTAAAAAGCAAAGATGTGTAAAAATGATCTCTTACTGGGATCATGTTTAAAACCTCTGAGAGTTGTTGTTGTTTAGTCGTTAAGTCGTGTCCGACTCTTTGTGACCCCGTGGACCAGAGCACGCCAGGCCCTCCTGTCTTCCACTGCTTCCTGGATTTTTGTGACAATGCCAATAGATTTCCAGGAAATGTTCTGCTTTCTCAGCACACAGACACAGACAAGTCATTTTGCAATCCAGCACTTGAGATGTCGGTAAAAAGCTACAGATTACACCTTTCTTTCTGTATTTGTGATTCTCCTTTTGCTTCCAGATTATAAACCACTGCTTAAATCCATTTCAGGAGGAAAATAAAACTATCATGTGATACAAAAATAAAGCCCAACAACAACTGTGTATATTAAGATACAAAAAGGTAAGTTTTTTTTTGTTTCCTCATCTGTATAAAATACAAAGTTTGGACATTACATTTTTATTTCACATGTGTATAAATATAACCCAAAGAATATGTTTTCAGTATTCCTACCAAAATATTACAATTTGTTTTGTACAAAAGTTTACAAAAGCTTTCCATATATATTTACAAGCCAATAGCTCCTGATTCAGTAATGCAACATGTCTGGGCAGTGCATTTAACTGTAACTTAAAAGAAAAGAAAAAGATACATAATGCTATGAAAAATGTAGTTTTAAAAAATCAAACAAACAAACAAGAAACAGACAAGCCAGCTTTTCTCTATTTTGGTCATAAAGGTGCAACTGGTGGACAACATTGCTAGGACAACTTTGATACATTTCAGTGGCAGATGCTAGGCAGTGCTTGGAAAAGTTCTTTTTCAAGACTTCAGTTCCCATAATCCCTGGGCAGCATGGCCATTGGTCATGTCGGCTGGGGAGGGGGTAATGGAGAATGTTGTCTTCCTTCACATTCCACGTTTGGAAGCAGATCAGACCGCCAGTAGAACCTTACCTGATACTGGTGATAGGATAACATACAGATTTGAGGGTAGAAAGCCGATTTAAAGGCTTACATAGTTTTATCTTCTGGTGTCAAAGAACAACTGCATGGTTCAGTAGGAACAGCCTGATGAAAAAACTACCATGGTTTCCCTCTCCTCATCCATCTCACAAGATGATTGTCTTGCTTCATGGCGGTGCCATCCAGCAGCAGGAACTAAAGTTTTTTTTTTTTTTGGACAACGGTTTCCAGAATCCCCGATCCATTTGGGAGATTATGGCAGTAGAAGTCAAAAGCGGAGGTGGGATGTTTCCTCCCCCCCAAACTAGACAATACTCTGAACAGATGCTATGGAGGGAGGCATTGTGGGTAATGAAAACAGAAGGCAAGTCCACCCCACCCACCCCTGAAACCCTGGCTATGGCGTTGCCATCAGCATGTTAAGCCCACAGAAGCCCCTGTCGATGTAGGAGGGGAGGGTCTCCCTTGAATCTGGAGTCACTTACAATATATTTGCGAAGGCTTTTACGGCCGGGATCTAATGGTTGTTGTGGTTTTTTTCTGGCTCTTTGGCCGTGTTCTGAAGGTTGCTCTTCCTAACGTCTCGCCAGTCTCTGTGGCCGGCATCTTCAGAGGACAGCACTCTGTGCTCTGGTGTAGTTGGCTTGGGAGTGGAGTATTTATGGCTGTGAGATGGGCCTTTGTCTTTTTCTGTAGATGGGTGATTAATGTGTCTTGTTGTGGGTGTATTGTTGTGCTAAGGAGAAGAGATTATCTGTCACTGTGGCGAAATGTTAGGAAGAACAACCTTCAGAACACGGCCAAAGAGCCTGAAAAACCCACAACAACCATCACTTACAATAGTCTTCCTTAGGAACACTCTTAACAGTGAACCTCCAGAATACTGGCTTTGCTACCCAGGGAAAAGGGGACGGTAGATCAGGAACTCCTGGTAGATCCTTGGATGATTTGCAGCAGCTCACAAGACTTTGTTCAGATGATTTCCATTTGCAATAACTGTAAGATTCCCCTGACTAAATTAATTAGGTGGTTGAAACACAGAGGAAACCCAGGTGGATCTTTTGCATGTGTCTCAAAGGCATCCTTCTGAGGCATCATTTTCTGTCTGGTTCCAGTTGCTGAATCTTAAGGTTGCAGTTAAAAAAAAACACAAAAAGAAAGGATATACCTCAACTAGCTTAAAAGCAACCTGTCTTTACTTGAAAGGATACAGTGCATAACTATTCCAAAACTAGTGTGGTAAGAGGAGGGCTTTAGGGTGTGCCTTAAAAAATGGGTGTACCTACCACTCAGCATTCTTTGGAAAGGGGGGGGAACACAGCTATGACTCTCTGATCTTCCTTCCCCCAATAAGGAGTATGAATCTGTCCATTTGTGGATATACACACACTTACATGCATGCACATCTCTCTCTCTCTCTCTCTGTGTGTGCGTGTGTGTGTGTGTGTGTGTGTCTGTGTGTTACAGATAAGGACACACTAGGGTTCTCTGATGTCTGTGCTATATTAAATAGACAAAAGGCAAACCCAGAAACATTCCAGTTATGCTGAAGGCATGGCCCAATCCATGACTATTTAGGCAAAGGAGAATACCACATGCTGGTTTGGAAAGATTTTGGAGAGGAGGGGAGGGCTTTGGAACTGAGTTATCTATGGGGCAAATTATGGTAGTGGAGAGGCTGAATCATATGGCCAGTAATCCTAATCAGAGCATAAGAGCAATTGCATTTCCCTGTTTCTGAAGAACCCCAGATGCATTCCAATCTTGCTAGCAATGTGAAGCCAGGCATGCAAAAATGGGCCTTCTGAACTGGAGGGGATTCTTACGTTATCACACTTCCAGAATTGCATAATGCAAGAAGAAATTGACCTATACTTTACTGGAACTAATTAGTCAAACCTCGAGCTGAAGGTCTTTAGTTCTCTCATGCAATTAGCACTCATTCATCAATCTGGTGTGGGCAAACTGCAGCCCATTTTGGAGGGCTCCCAGGCCTCCATGGAATCCCCAAGTCCAGCCCAGCCAAAATCTCTATCCAATCTCTCCTCCTTTTTTGCCCTCCTGCAAAGAGCAGTATTTCTGTTCCTCGTGGTATCCAGGAGTAGAAGTTTATGCAGAGGAGGGTCATAGGATCCCCAGCCACCAGATTTTTTAAAAAGTAGCCTCCTGAAAACATCTGAGAAGGCCTAAGAGGTTCAAGATGGATGCATCTCTCTCTCTCTCTCTCTCTCTCTCTCTCTCTCTCTCTCTCTCTCTCTCTCTCTCTCTCTCTCTCTCTCTCTCTCTCTCTCTCTCTCTCTCTCTCTCTCTCTCTCTCTCTCTCTCTCTCTCTCTCTCTCTCTCTCTCTCTCTCTCTCTCTCTCTCTCTCTCTCTCTCTCTCTCTCACACACACACACACACACAAATTTATTAGTAGAACATGTAACTGGCTTGTGACTAGAGGAGGGACACATCCTCTCCTTGGTCTGTCAGCCACCCCAGGAGTAAAGCAGCTTAATTTCCAACATATTGGACCTTTTGCCCCTTGCCACCACTCAGATATATAAAGGTAAATATAGGGTTACACATGTTGGCTTCAGAAAGCAGGTATTGTGTTTAGATCAGGGATGGGCAGATGCTGATGGACTACAATTCCCAGCATTCCTCTCCACTGGTCATATTGGCTTCAGCCGATGGGAACTGCAGTCTAACAATGTTTGTAGGACTGTGTTTTGCCAACACCAAGTTTAGTTAAATATGGCAATCGCTTTGATTTTGTTTCCCACTGTAAGCCGCTTGGGAGTCCTTCAACCATTTACAGAGCTTCAGATTGGAGCCAGACTTAGTCATGTTTATGCAGATCAAATGAAACTGCTTTGTCATGACTACGTCTGGAATCTAAACCAGTGGACTCAACCCTTCCTCTACAAACAGAGGGGAAACACTGTATTTTGGGCAAACAAGCAATCATAAACAAATGCCAAACACTATGAGTCTGTAGTCATGAACGGCCTTGTCTCAGGAATGGCCACCTAAGATTTCATCCAGGTTGATATCTTTCATCCAGTCATCATTGCCAGGCTCCGTTTTCAACAAGGAATCAATGAAGTCCGGATCGCTGTTCAGCGCTGGCCCAATATTATCCCCTTGCTGGTTCAGAAAGTCAAACGCTAGATCGCTGTTGTGATCAGTTCCTTGATAAGCCCTGCCAGATGTTTGGTTGGTACCAGAAGGGAAGTGATTGGATGACAAAGGATGTGGTGGTGTCATACCCACTCCAGGCGGATTTAAGTGGGGCACCGTCTGCGCCCGTACCTGGTTAGCCCTTGTGCCGTGGGATTTTGATGTCCCGGCCACTTGTCCATTTAGAGTCTGGTTCATTTGGCTCACGGGTGTCCTTATCTGGATGGTGGCCAATTGGTCAGGAGGCACTGCGGTACGTTGAGGAAACTGCTGGTGGGTAACCGCGCGCTGCAGCAGCTGGTTTGTATAAGAACTCCCTGTGGGGAAGGGGGATCCCACTGCTTTCCGTGTATCCTGCTGCTTCGCTCCTGTTTCTTGAGAGACCCAGCTCTGACCTCCAGAATTTGAGCTGACCATAACATTGGGAGGTCTTTGTGTGGATGTCCCCTGGTTCAGACTGGGTTTCCCCGGCTGGGAGTTGGTCCCTTGCCCACTGTCAAACGCTGACAAGTTATTGCCTTGCCCAGGTGGTGCTTGCCGAGATGCCGTAGGGTTGTTTTGACCCGCAATGATTTGGTTTGGGTTCCTGTGCTGTGGGACTGGGCCCGCTCCCGAAGATGTCACATTGTAAGTACTTTGTGGACTGCAAGGGATGTTGCCATAACAACTCATGTGATGGCTTGCTGAAAGGGAAGCCATCCTGGTTCCATGAGCGGTAGACAGGAGATTCGAAGCCTGTGGCGAGAGGCTAGGAGTGGAAATGGTGTTCGGAAAGCACAGGTTGGAACTGATGCTCACAGCAGATGATCCACCTAGAAAATGAGGGAAAGATTTCATCCATCATTTGTTTTGTAGGTAAATGACAGCCCTCATCCCCAAGGTAAAGGTAAAGGTTCCCCTTGACATTTTGTCCAGTCGTGTCCGACTCTGGGTGCGGTGTTCATCCCTGTTTCCAACCCATAGAACTAGCGTTTGTCCGAAGACAATCTTCCGTGGTCACGTGGCCAGCGCGACTAGACACAGAATGCCGTTACCTTCCAACCATGGTGTTACCTATTTATTTACTTGCATTTTTACATGCTTTCGAACTGCTAGATTGGCAGGAGCTGGGACAAAGCAATGGGAGCTCACTCCGTCGCGTGGATTCGATCTCACGACTGTTGATCTTCCAACCCTGAAGCACAGAGGCTTCTGCAGTTTAACCCACAGCGCCACCACATCCCTCATCCCCAAGAGAAAACAGTAAATACATGGGGAGGAACACAAGGGATGAAAAAAGGATGACCAGAAATGAAAGAAAATATAATGAACCATGTCAGAGGGCTACTAGAGAAGGCACGCCGTTAACAGTTAAGGATGGCAGTGTGGGCCTGAGTTGAAATGCACCTTCCAGGAGTATTTCAATTGCCATTGACACGAAACACCTCCCTGGAAGAAGACAGATCTATAGTGAAATGCAAGAAAAATGTCAAAGAGCCTTCGAGAATCATAAAGATGAGCGAAGATGGAGTGTGTCGACTCGCCTACAGATGGCCAACACCCTTTTATTCTTGGGCAACTTCATGAGTTGTTTCAAAGGGCACTGTGGTTGTGACATTGGTTTCGTATCTCACTCCAGAGACAAAGTTTTCTCTCTTCCCCCTCTGAATCGCTGGCTATTTTTAGCCTTCTTCCCCCTCCGCCACTCTTAATTTCTACCAGATGGGAAGAAACTGCATTCCAATTAGTGCTGGGCAGAAAGCAGAATCAGACCTTAAAATACCAAAATGAGTGAGTGGTACTGGAGAAATGTGTCAGTTTCTGATTCATGCCCAGGCCTGACAAGCAACACAAGGAGTGAGGCATACAGATGAGAGCCTGCACCACCGTGTGCTTTAAGCAATATCTCCTGAACAGCAAGTATAGACGGATGCATTAATACTGAAACAAAACATCAGCCAGGATTGACTATGGCAGTGCTGATGTTATTATGGTGCTTGGTCATCTTCAGGCCCGCCCTGGGCCATTTTTGTGCTTCTGCTTGTCATAGCAGTGGTGGAAACGAAGCACCAACAGACGTAGCAAGTGACCTGAACCAAGATGAGGGCAGGGAAGGAATAGACAGGTAAATAGGCTCTGTCTGCTTTCATTTTTTGCCCAAATTATGTTGTGTAAGTTACACCTGCAGAAGGGCAATGGTGTCACTGGGAGGGGAAGATTTTTAGTAATTAAAGTCTGCATTCTTCCATCCCACTGGCTGACCAACTTCCAAACGATCTGTTTCACTCCATGGAAGCCATGGAATCTGCAGGACTGAAGGAGGAAGTGTTTAATCACCTAAAATCTCCCATTCCTAGCAACATCATCTTATGGCAGAGACTTTTGGTAGTTAAAAACCTCTTCCTTTTGTCCCTCAGTTCCCACACAATGAACTGATTAGGTAATGAGACAAAAATAGGAGGCCTTTAATTACTGAAAATCTGCCCATTCCAGTGATATCATCACTCTTTTGCAGCAGGCATAACTCATACAACAGGATTTTGGCCTTTTCAAATGTACATGCAAAGAAGTAGACTTCCTTCCTCCTCCTCTTTGTGCTGTACTACTGCCTTTAACTCATACAATTTTTTTCTCAGATGGATTTTGGCTGTAGAAGACAGCTTTATGTGATTCTATAACCATATCTAGACTCTTTCTCCTGTTGCAAATGTCTCATTCTGTCAGGGGTGTTATTGATGGTGCGTAAGAGAGATGGTTCCACTGTTCTGAACAGGCCATCTACCTCTTCTGCTGGCCTTCTGTTGGACTTCCCCAAGACTTCAGTTCCTGGGCAGCCCAAAGGCAAAGAACACCAAACATCTGTGAAGGGACAAGGATGGAGATTCTGAGGAACCATGGGCCCAGGAGGAAGGTGCTAGGCCAGCTTGTGGGCAGGAAGGAGTAGGTGGAACCAGCTGGGAGGGAGGAAGAAAAGAGGAGGAGGACAGGGACCAGCTGGAGGCCCTCAAAGAACAGCTGCCAGTCTTTTGTGCCCTGGAGGAGGACGAGGGCAATCTCTTTATCCTGGGACCCCTGCACCACAGCGTGGATGACTTTTATCTGGAGCTCAGAGTTGGTGAGTTGGGTGTTGCAACCCACTGTGCTCGAACCAGTGGGAAGGCAGTGCAGACATCCCTCCACCTCACAGCTGGGGTGTCCAACTCTTGAGTCAGAAGTAATTCTGGAGGTGACACTGCCAATGCCAGCAGTTGGCACAGCTGGCTCCAGAGGGGGAAGGAGCAGGTGTGGCAGGAAGGCTGGGTTTCCACTCCGGCACACCAGCTGTCACTTAAGGACAAAGCCCAGCTGCTGGGGTTAGTGACTTCAACTCAGTCCCAGCAGGAGGCTACTGTGGACCTGGGGCCAGCATCTGCAACCAGGACCCAAGGCTTAAGGTTGGCAGGACGGACGTGGGGATGAAGGATCTCGGTGACCTTGTTTAAGATTACAATAAAACCTGGCGTACCTGTTAACCAGCCTGTCAAAACAATGAACCCATGGCGGAGGACTTAGCCCCACCACTCCAAGCATAGGCAGTGAATTTTAATTTGTCTCTAGAGGTTATAAGCTGTGCAACAACACAGCGCCCTATTCAACCTGTTATTCATTTTAATGCCTATACATGAACCTGGGGTGTGAGATCATTAGGAATTTTGGAATTGAGTACCACCATTAATATGCCATCAAGATCTTATTGTTTGAGACAAGTGAGACACTGTAAGGTGCAGAGACCGTGTCTGGGTGCTGCAATTGTCTAGGTAAGTGCCAATAAGCTGAAGTGGAGTTCCAACCAGGCAGAAGCTTTGTAGATTAAAGGTTCCCTGGTCCAGGGAAATGATCTGTCTGAAGCAGCAGGTGTAAATACTGGGAGTGCTTCTGGATTTGTCTCTCTCATTAGAAGGCCAGTTGGACTCCATAGTTCACTGTGTTAGCAGCCAGCTTAGATTAGCCCATTAGCTATGCCCTTCCTGGACAGGGACAATTTGGTTGCATTAGATCACACACTACAGTGGTGCCTCGCTTAACGATTGCCTCGCTTAACAAGGAAATCGCTTGACAATTAGGTTTTTGCAATCGCAAAATGATGGTTTAAATGGGAAAAATCTGCTTCACGATGATCGGTTCTCTGCCTCGGGAACCGATTTTTGCATTACAATGATCTAAAAACAGCTGAATGTCGGGTTTCAAAATGGCCGCCGGGTGCACAAAATGGCTCCCCGCTGTGATTTAGGATGGATTCCTCACTTTACAGGCAGTGAAAATGGCCATTCCTATGGAGGATCTTCACTGGATGGTGAGTTTTCAGCCCATTGGAATGCATTGAAGGGTTTTCAATGCGTTTCTACGGGCTTTTTTAATTCGTTTAACGAGGATTTCACTCTACAGTGATTTCGCTGGAACGGATTATCCTCGTTAAGCGAGGCACCACTGTAGTAATTTGTGTTCAGACTACTGTAATGTGCTGTATGTGGAGTTACTTTAGAAGACCACAATGGCTACAGGCTGTGCAACATGTGGCAACTAGACTGCAGGGACAAAGTGCAGAGGCCATAAACGTGTTTTAAAGGAACTTTACTGCCTGCCCCAAATCTTCCAGTCTGAGTCTCCCAACACCTTGCCACTACTTTGAAGCCCCCTGCATCTGACACATGCTCTATTCCAGTGCTTCCCAACCTTGGGTCCCCAGATGTTCTTGGACTGCAACTCCCAGAAATCTTGGCCAGCAAAGCTAGTGGTGAAGGCTTCTGGGAGTTTTAGTCCAAGAGCAGTTGAGGACCCATGGTTGGGAACCACTGCTTTAATTGCTAAACCACGCTGGCTCTCAGAACACATGTACATGTAGCTTGTAAAAGGGCTGTCAGTTCTGCAAACTCAAAAAAAAATATAAGTGCTTAGATGTACTCGGTTGGGCCAATGGCAACAGATCTAATTCTCTCTGTGTGTCTCCTGGGAGTCTAAATAAGACTTGACAAGCTTAGCTTCCAAAAGAGTTATGTCTGTATGGATCTGAGTTTGCAAACACATGTATTTTTTTATTTTTTTATTTTTTTAATTTATTGTATGTTCCATTCATATTTTCTCAGCTGTATGCCTTAAAAAAGGTAATATGTGGGGAAGACATGACACACAAAATGGGATTTCTGGTTATGTTACCAAGCCTCAGTTTCTCTGAAACATCCAGGACCTGGTGCAAATTACAGTATTGCTTGTTTGTAATTAAGCACTCCATGCTTTGTTTTTAAAGGGAAGCCATAGGGAAATGGTCTTAAGTTATTCCAAGGTGCCTATTATTTCCTATTTATAAAGTTGCTTCACCCTTTTATTTTCTGGACAAGTCCCGAATCTGTCAGCCACCCAGACAAATTCCAACAAAAAGAGGCAGACGGATTTTCTATCTTTGGATCCGCTCTAATTGATCTCTCTATACATAGAATGTTCACCGATACTCTAACAGCTTGGGGGGGGAAGAGGGGAAAGGTCAATCAAGTGATATCAAAAATCAATGGAGCTTCTGTGAAAGCAGGGGAAGACTGGGCTGTTGGGTGGGGTGGGGGGGAGGAACTTCTCACAGAAGGCCTGGGGACAAGAAAAGCTTTGTGCTTCAAGTGGAATTAAGGCACAGGGGAGATTCAAAGATGGAAAGGCTGAAAAAGCTAGAAGCTGAAAGAACCTGACTAAAACAGGAAAAGAATAGAACGGAAATCTTACACAGACCTCCAAGACAGGGGAGGGAGAAAAGGGCTAAACTTTACAAATTTTAAACCGCTTGATTCTCTGGCTGCAGTTTTCTAGCTTATTTTTTGTTTTTTAAAGTGGTTCTTACCTGAATACTGGTGGGACTGCTGCATGTTGACCTGATTCCTTCTTTGGTCTTTATAATCTGGTGGTGGCCTTGTGAGGTGTCTATTCAATTGATCTTGAGGAGTTATCTTCTCCTATAGGATTAGAACAGAAAGAGAAATAGGCCGCTTTGATTCATCCCACAGAGATCATTGTGAATCAGTAGGAAGATGGGTGAGAAAAACACATCTCCCGCTCATAAAGGTCCTTAACCTGGATCTCCTCTGGATACATTTGATTACTGAGCCCATCAGGTCCAGCCAGCAGTCCACTAGTTAGTCTGGTGGGAAGAGGATGATAGTTGTAGCCAAACATATCTAGAGAGCCCTGGATGGGGCAAGGTGGATGCTTCTGAGACACAGATGCAGCAGTTCTTTCTCTGTGCTCCATAGGGTGGACAAACAGCACCCCCCTCAATGGTCCTTCTATCCTCCCCAAGCCCTCTCTTTTCTCTCCCAGCAAGGAAAAGAAAGGTGGAATTCCAGCTTGCCTGAAACCTCCAGAGGTGGAAATACACGTTTTGTGTTTCAAGTGGAATTAAGGCACTGGGGAGATTCAAAGATGGAAAAGCTGAAAAATCCTCTGCACCATTTAACACCCCCAAATGACCTTTTCTTGAAAAAAAATCACAACAACAACCCTAGACTTCTGGCCACTTGTGGTTTCAGTTTTTAAATTATCAGCATCTTAGAACTTCAGAGCTGGAAGGGACCCTATGGATCATTGGTCCAGCCCCTGTGAAGGAGGCCCAGTCGGGAATCAAACTCCCAAACTCTGCCAGCTACCCAGTAGCTTTGGTACGTTTCAGCCCTCTTGACAGTCTCTGTGACTCCTTGGAGATATAGCATAGGTCCTGGGACTATATGGGCTCAGAATAAATAATGAAAAAGGTTGCTTTTCAGTTGTGATCTAGGGAAAATGCTGCCAGTGGATTTATACTTAGCAATAGGACTTAAAACTGATTTTTTTAAAAAAACCTCTTTCTTTCTCACTCTCTCGCACACAAAACAAAACTGATTCTAATATTTCTTACAGTTACAGTGGTGCCCCGCTTGACGATGACCCGGCTTGACAACGAAATCGCTTTATGATGACTTTTTGCGATCACTATAGCAATCGCAAAACCATGTTTCTATCGGTTTTTTCGCTTTACGATGAATCATTCCCTGCTTCGGGAACCGTTTTTTCACTAGACAATGATTATAAACAGCTGATCGGCAGTTTGCAAAACGACTCCCTGCTGTTTTCTGGACCGATTGTCTGCAAGACAGGGATCTCAAAATGGCCGCCCTATGAAGGATCTTCGCTGGACAATGAGGTATTTCCCCCACTGGAACGCATTGACCGGTTTTCAATGCATTCCAATGGGGTTTCCCCCCGCTTGACGACGATTTTGCTTAACAGCGATTTTCCTAGAACGCATTATCGTCGTCAAGCAGGGCACCACTGTATCTCAGTAATATTTACTATGCTTATATAAAGCAGCCCACTATTACTATCCACAGTGCAAATGAAGAACAAAGAGAGGGGGGCTGGCATAAAGCCATCTGATAGAGGTGAGAGCTGAACCAGGTAGGTCAGTGGTTGTAGCCATTAAGATGTATTACCCACGTGAAAAACATTGGCAAAGTTGTTCTGACCCAAAAAAGGAGGAAGAAGAAGCCCCATCACCACCAAAGAAAGTGGCAGTGGTTGCAGCCAGCTTACAGGAAGTGGCTAGGAACTAATTTTCTGAATCCTGCAGCTCTCCTTCTGTTTTCATCTCAGCAAAACTGTCAAAATGTGTTCACTCTCCCTATAGAGGGAAGGCATTTTTCTCTCCAGCTTTGCAGTCTGGACACAAGGAGGTTTTCCAAGGGAGGGAAAAAAAGAGAGAATGTCGCTTGAAGATATGCAGAGACCGTGCCCACCCGGGTGGTCCTTAGCATGTTGCCAGCATCTGCTTTAGAAAGGAAATGTAACTCTCGGCTGCCTACTGACAGCGCGGCTGCCCTGGAACCTGCTTGCTTTGCGGCTGAAAGGACTAACCTCCCACTCGCTTTTGTCTGCAGCCGTGTGTCAAGCTGCTAACTTGCATTACAAAATCGTATCACAGGGCAGGAACTGGGTGGCGCTGGGTGGGAGAGAGGCAGGCCTTTGCTCAAAACAACCGGGGCTTCACAGGTCCCTGGATCCATTCCAAACCCACTCCCTCTGCCACAATCCCTGAGCAGTTTTGGAAAGAGGTACGGGGGACACACATGCTCTCTCCAGATCTCACAGGGCTGGATTTGGATCCCCCAAACCTTTCTCTCTCTCTTTTTTAAATCTTTTCATTTATAAAGTCTCTCCCAGTTCTCTGGGAGATGCTTTATAAATGAAAATAATTTTTCTCTGGGAGATGGAGGCCAATTTAAATGTGGTTAGGATGTTGTTTCTGTGCTGTTTTTATTATGTTATGTAAACCGCCTCGAGTAGACTTTGTCTAGGGGGGGCGGGGTAAAAATCTAATAAAAGTAAAAGTAAAAGTAAATTTCACTCTGTTTCAGACTCCCCACAGACCTATTTCAGGTTCAGTGGGTAGGACATCTTTTCCAAAACTGGAAGTTGATGAAGTCAAAGGGACGTTAAAGTCAAAAGAAAAAGGAAGGGGGGGTTACCACAGCACAGGGACCCCCATATTGAGGGCAAAGCTTGTATTATGCTCACACCTTAACCTGTGCTTCATCTTAGTTAGAGATGGGCACAAACCAGTTCATCCGGTTCGTAAAGGTGGGATGCGGCTGCTCCCTTCCGCTGCCTCCTCTGGCTCAAACAGCCATTAACCAGATCCCAGCTTCTTTGTTTTAACCTCCTCAGTGAATCTCTCAGTCAGGAGCAAGAGCCCAGACTTCTCTGCCCTTCCCTTTTTGTTTGAATGGGAGATCAGCGAAGAGGGAAGGAGCAGAGAAGTCTAAGCTGTTGCCGGGACTGGAAGATCAGCTGAGGAGGTGGAAAAAACAAGTAAACTGGGCCTGGTGAGTGGCTGTGTGAGGAGGCAGGGAAGGGGAGCAGCCGCACCTGTGCTGCCACCTTTATGAACAGGGACAAACCCATCACTAATTGCAATTTATCCACAAAGCAGAATCATTCAACATTATGCACAGTCAAGGTTTTCCTGTCTAGCCCAATACTGCCTACTGTAACCACAAGCAGTTTTCCAAGTCCTCAGAGGACCTTGGAGCACCTACTGTACAGTGGTGCCTCGCTTAACGGCGATAATCCATTCCAGGAAAATCGCCGTTAAGCGAAAACAAAAAGCCCATTGAAACGCATTGAAAACTTTTCAATGCATTCCAATGGGCTTAAAACTCACCGTCCAGCAAAGATCCTCCATACAGCGGCCATTTTCGCTGCCTGTCTAGCGAGGAATCCATCCCTAAACACAGCGGGGAGCCATTTTATTCACCCGGTGGCCATTTTGAAACTGCCAATCAGCTGCTGAAAAATCATCGTTTTACGAAGAATCGGTTCCCGAAGCAGGGAACCGATAATCGCAAAGCGAATTTCCCCCATTTAGACCATCGTTTTGCGATTGCAATTGCGATCGCAAAAAGATCGTCATAAAGTGGATTCGTCGTAATGCGGAGCAATAGTAAAGCGAGGCACCACTGCAATCCCTAATCAGGTGCAGTCAATGATTTTTTATTGGGGGGCAATCAATCCAAAATCACTCAGATTATGGCTCAGCTTTCAATCTGGCGATGGCAGAGACTATGAGCATGCAAAACATGTGCTCTGCCACTGAGTTATATGCCCTTAACCCAAGCTTGAACTGTGGCCCAAATCCTATGGCTGATTTATATGTGCAGAAGGAAAACTTCAAAAGTCTTGGTGGCAAATTGCTGCTCATTTACAAGTCATTCATTGCACTCCTGTCCATGCGCTCATTAATGCAACCAAGCCTATGTCAATGTATGGCAAATCAATGTCAGATCTTGCTGTATTTTCCCTTATACAAGGAGGAATCAGCCATAGGATTCTGGCCTGTATCCTCAGGGTGATCCCCAAATTTCAAGCCAGAGTGGGCAGCCCTGGTCCAGTCATGAACTGCCTATGATTACTGTTTTTGAACCACATGATAGTCAGCTTCTTATAAAACACAACTGGAAGGCTTACCACTTCTGTTATCATCTGTTGTTGTTGTTGCTGCTGTTGCTGCTGCTGCTGTTGTTGCTGTTGTTGTTGCTGTTGCTGCTGTTGCAAAAGGAGTTGCTGTTTGAGCTGCTGATTCAGCAGTGCTTGCTGGGGTGAATTTATGTAACTGCTTCCAGCATTTGGATTTGTGCAAGTGCCAGCACTGGAACTGGGACCTGCGTTTTGGCCTATGACAGGGTGCTGATCCTGTGAATTACCAAAAAAAAAAAAAAAAAAACAAAAAAAAAAAGGAGGAAAGTAAAAAAAAGGAAAAGGTATGTGTGTGAAAAGCCTTGCAGACACACAAGAATATAAAACCAACACCCCACCTTCTGAAGACTGATTAAAATATAAACCCATCTCTTTTGAACTGTTCAAGAAGCTAGAGAAAGTTGGCAGAGAAAACTGATAGAAAAATTACAGGGCTGTCCCTGCGGTTGCAGTGGAAAATCTTGGCGTTCTAGCAGAAGTTGACAGAAGCTCAGAAGAAGCAACTGGGTTGCCCTGGGAACCATTTGGGAAGCTGTCATAACATTTTGTAGACATCAGTGTGATTTAGGTAGCAACAACTACATTAACAGATACCAACAAAGCAACGAGTATAGTACAGTGGTTTCCAAAAATAGCTCCCCAGATACTGTTGGACTACAACTCCCAGAAGGTCTAACCAGATCATTAGCATCCTCAGATTTCATGGCCAAAACATGACCAGCAGGGCTTTGGGATGTCACAGGAGTGATCTTTGTGATTGCCCTCACTCCTCCATTACTCTCCACCCTTACTCTGTCTCAGTGGCATCAGCATATACCCAAATCTGACTGGTTGCATCAATCCATGTGATTGTTTTTACTAACTCCAACACTTAAGCCATAGTGTCACAGCATGTCAAGCAATTCTTGATGTGATCCCATCCAATCAGCATTCAGGCAGTTAATAATTTATTATAGAGAGGAGCCTCAAAAACAAAATTAGTTAGTTAGGCATCCTTCAGTCTCAAAAGACTATGGTGACGTGCTCTGTATGGAGGACTTGGAACAGCGTCTAGTGTGGCTGAAGAGGCCAATTCGAGAGTGACAATCTCTTCCACACTGAAGACAAATCCAATCTGTCCCCTGTCCAGCTCCCTGGTTTTGCTGCTTTTGTGACTTCCTCTTTGCCTCGGCCTGCTGGACAAAAACAAAATGCTGCCTATGTAAAGAACTGCCCAGAACAACAGGTATGGATTATTATTACTCCTCATATAATAGGAGGCTGGCTAAATGCCTCAGTAATTTAGGTATCTGGCTGAAGAACCAGAGATTGGGAGTTTAATTTCCCACTGTGCCTCCCGTGAGTAGAACCATAAATCTGAAACAACTGGATGGATATGAAGATGGTGATGATCACGACAACAACAATAACAATGTAAGAGGAAGGAAAGAATTCATTTGGCCAGTATTTTAAAGCACACCAACCTAAATTGCATTTCCTGGATTAAAATGCAGACGGTTATTTTTCAGATCACAGATGTCCCCAAATTTTACAAAATAGTGATTGGCCCAAAAAGTACACACACACACACACACACACATGCACAAACGCACGTGCACACACACACACGTGCATGTGCGCGCACACTAGGAAAAGCAGAGTAGTAAAATATATGGCCTTTTCCTGTAGCAAAATTGTCTACAAAATGCTCATGTTAGGCAAAATTGTGTACAAACATGCATAGTTCTGTGTGTTCGAAAAACAATCACAGATCAATGCAGAAACTGGACAGCTAATTTCACGCAGAATATACATATGAACCAGAAAATAGACTCATCCCTGAAGGTTTCTTTACATAAAAAAAAACAAAGGACAACAACTCAGATACTGATGGGACTCTGTAGGGCTACTAAGCAACACAGTAAAGCTCCTCAGAAAGAGTTGTGCCTTTCCTTGGACGGTACATCATCTCCCTCCATCTCCTGTAGCAACAGCTAAAGAAAACGCGCCTCTTTTCAAGCCGCCTTCAACAATCAAGTCTTTAACAAGAACAAAGCTCTAGCAGGATGAATCATTAAGCGCTGTCTTGTTTCTCGATGCGCACGTGCTCAGTGCAGCCTCCTGCTGGGTCAGTCTGGCATATTTCCTGTCTCGGCTACAGAGCATCCATGTGGGATGAACAGACTGGGCTGCCTTTTCCAAATTAAGAAATAAAACCCGGCATCCCTCAAGAATCCTGGCACTGAGTCTCAAGGGCAAACATTCACTGGGCTAGAAACAAGAATCTGAAGGGCAAACTACACATTCAGAGGAGCACCTGACCCCCACGTGCATGCTTGAAAACTGGGCCCAGTCTGATTAAGGGCACAAACGGCCACAGGGTCTCCTGATCCGGACGGGGTTATATTGCAGCCATACCTTTAAAAAAATGACATCATGAGGCTTCATGAATCGCTTGATAGCCTGTATGACCACTCACTGACTTTTCCACCTCTGACTCAAAGAAGGAGCAAACATTTAATCCTCCCACTTACACCGTTTTCTGACACTAATCTTTGATCTACACAGCATTGCCATTTGCCCTAAAAGAAACAGAGGTAAGACCATTGGGAGCAAATAGCTGCATTAAGTGGCAGCTTTTTGCTTGAACTACACACACACACACACACACACACACACACACACAGCATCACATGTGATGGACACATCACATGTTATAGGCAAATGTGTATTTCTCTCCCTTACTATGATGTCCTTCCAGGCATGCAAACCTTTCAGAGCCACCTGCCTGAGACATCAGACATGCTAATTGATACAGCTTGTGTTATCTCCGAGCTGAGCAGTTACAAAAGCACAGAACCCTAACTTTCCCAATGTGGATTGAGGCACGCTTGTGTGACAATGGACAGGCTTTTCCTCTTAAAGGCGCCGTGCTTCTAAATATGAAATCAATGCCTTGTCTGACGAGGCCTTAGAACTCCCTCAATGACACCTCGTTCATTCAGTCTACAACTCAGCTAAGAAACACACCTCCCCCCCCCCAAGTTAGAAGAGCTCTCTACCGGCTGCAGATGCCTCCAGAGCTTGGTTTCATAGCTGGACAGTCGGCCTTACTCATTCACAATCATTATCTTGTTTCACACGCAAACACACCCGGTCCTCTCTCACACATGCAGGCACATCTATGCAGTGAGGTGAGGCTGTGAGTTCAACAGGAGGGGAAGGGCTGGCTGGGAGTAGCCGGAGTCTTGGTGGAGCCCTAGGAAATCAGCTTCCACAGGAAGCAAGGAAAGGCAGACCGTAGCGAAATGCCAAAAAGTGACATCATTCCTGCCTGTCCATCACAGAAGCTCAAGGGGGAGGAGCCAAGGATAGGGCAGGAGGGGCGGAGCCAGAGAGACAGTTGGACAGTTAAGAGAGAGACAGTTGGAGATGTGGAATGGCAGTTAGAGTGAGGGTTTAGGACAAGGAAGGAGAGGGTTAGTGAATTGAGCTGAGAGTGTTAGGAGGGGAAACTGAGAAGTTTAAACAATATTGAACTAGCAGGAATGAAAGTATAAGCACTACAAGAGAGATATCGATTGAAAGTATACAACAGTATACTTGAAAGTATACAGCAGTATACAGCAGTATACAATAAAAGTGATTGCCTACATGATCCAATACATGTTAATACCTGAAACAGTTCCTATGTGATTTACCTTTATGTTTTGTTTGACAATAAAAGAATACTTAATTAAACCTCTGATTCCTAAGTTCAGTGACCCTTAGTTTTGGCAGCACATGTGTATGACATAAATTGGTATTAGGAGAATACCTGGTGGCAGCGTGAAAAGGCGTGATCCTTTGTGAGGGTCAAATAAATAGGGGAAACAAAGGGAAGATTGTCACAGACACTGAGTTGTGGCAGACATGCAGAGGCGGGGGAGAATGTTCACACAGCATCCTCCTCTGTGCATTCGGACATCAGAACACACTGGAGAAGTTGGGGGTGCAGAAGAGGTGTCTTTTTAAAGCTGAAGCAGATGTCTCACATGCCTGATCACAGAGCCAGCCCTGAGAGCAACTATGTGTAGGGCTGCAATCACGCGGATCCTAACAGGCTGGATATAATCTCTGATGTTTGTGTGTACGCGCCTATAATAGCGCTCTTCAGGAGAGCACAAAATAATCTGAATGTGTCGGGCGAGATGGATAGCCCACACCCACACTGTTGTGGCTCCCCCATGTGGAGACTGACCGTCAAGAGAGGAAACAGCTCAATGTGCATGGAGTCTCCCCATTGGAGTCCCTGGTTTTTCCGCACTGAGCCAATTTCTCCATGTATAGCAGGCTCTCTCCTCCTAAGACCCCTTTCTGAACCCCTGAGGCTACTTTCATGATGGGTTCCTGCTAGAGTTCAGAGGTAACTAATGACAAACAATTAGTTACTTGTAACTAATTCATTTCCCACCTACTAAAGTGTAATGATCCTGCATTACAACTGCAGCATAACTAGGAACAACCATTCCTTTTGTAACATCAATGCAACTTTTAGTTATTTTTCTAGTTACAGGGGTATGGGCTCACCGAAATGTGAAGAAGGAACAGCACTTGGTTCAGGTGTGTGCTCACGCTGCACAATGTACTGCTTCCTCGTGCTCAAGAGTAGATTTTGATGGGGATAAACAGGAAGAGAGGATGAATGCTACCACAGGCCGGCAATTTGCAGCATTCAGATTTTTTTAAAAAGTAACTGAAACTGTTTAAGTTACATCTGAGAAAATAGAAAATAGGTACTTTTGAAAAAAAAATGTAATTTGCACTAATTCACACTAAAGGGCTTTTGAAGCAGAGCTATAATTAACTTTAAAATAGAACTTCCAACACTCTGGTTCTGCATTTCACAGTTTATCAGTATATCATTAATATATTTTTCAGCTGATTGAAAAGGCACTTACCACGCCATGTAAAGTGAAGTGCAGAAGGGAAACACATTGCTGAAACAAAGCCCTCACATTAAAAATATTATTCAGACCAAGAATTGCGTATACCAGCTAGTATTATTTTGTGGGGGTGGGAGATTTAACACAGGTTAACAAGAGGGCATCTGGGAGAGAGGAAAACATTCTGATACTATCAATGTTCTTAAGAGATTAGTGTAATCTTTTATATATGGTACTGATGAACTGAGGCACAGAAGAAAGGATTATTAGAGCCAACAGTAATTTGTGTGCAGATGTGTGTACGTATGCATC